TATTTCAGAATTAGAAAAGAATGTGACTGCAAATCCCAGGCTGGCTGTGAATGTTCTCTCCTTGTAGCCATCGGATTTGGTCTGTGCAAAATATCTCCAAAATCCTCTAGAAGGCAGCAACTTACATGAGTTCCTGAGGAGGCCAGAAGAATCCCAGACTGTTGCGGGACATCGCGGTCTTGGATGCCCTGCTCACTGACTACTTGCCAAACCCCTGGGGCTTTAATGTCAAGGAAGGTATATGAGCCCCAAGGACTGCGATCTTCGGCCAGTGGCTAGTCTAAAGTTGGAGCCATAGTTTGGGACAGTCTGTGGCCCTGAACTCCCAACCCTACCGAGACTAGTCATAATTCAGGGAATAAATCTACAAACTGTAATCAATAGCGACAATACAAAGAGGAGCAACAGTGACAAGAACATGAATACCAGAGCAAGCTCATCTGAAGCTTCATAAGAATTGTGATGTCCATGACCCTTCAGTGGCAACACTTTTTTAGAAGCCCCTGAACTGGGACCACTTGGGGACAAAAGGGGGCACCTAATTGGAATCACGTAAGGCGCTGCTGGCAACAGCTGCCTGCCAGAAAAACAAAACTCTGAGCGAGGCGCGCTGCTCTTGGTGCAGTTTAGACCTGCGCACTGTGCATCTAAGATTTAGTGAGACTAAACAAGGGGCTGAGGGCTTGAGCTCCTGGGTCTTTGGGTTTAGTGTCTGGGATGTTCAGGTTCGTGGCTTCGGGCTTGCTTAAGCCTTTTGGCAAAATAACCTTCGCAGCTGAGGTTTGCTTGACGGCATATCGTTCTGGCCTCTCCGTATTCGCGTCCAAAAAATACTTGCCGCTTCGGCAAATCCCACGTAGTGCTGCCAACCTGTAAGCCCCGAGGTGTTATCCACAAACGCCTAAGCGCAAGCCGGGACCCTCAACTCCAGATTGACACAAATGCTCAGCCGCCCCGGTGGAACCCTTCAAAGGGGCAAGCTCTAAGCTCTAATCTTCATAGAAGCCATGGTGCCGTAGTACTCGCGGCGTGCAGCTGCCAAGGGGAATTGGTCACGCCACAGTTCCTTTCAATGTTAAGGTTGCAGGGCGCATGGCTAAGGGATAACGGACGAAGGTTGAGCAATGACGGTTTGGGCTCCGGATTAAAGGCTCAGGGTTTCTCGAGAACAGAGTAGCCTGCAGGATGGTAGGGGGCCATCACTTTCGACAAGTCCCATTTGGGTATTTCACAAACACAAGCGCGGGTCCCTTTATATCACTCAAAATACCATGGTCCTCATTGAAGTAACCCTTCAACATGAGGATTCAGCTGCTAAGGCAACTCGATTCAGGCTTTGACCTGTGGATCGCTGCTACAAACCAGGGTGTAGCTTGGGACTTAGGAGTTTGGAAGGTTCATCCGACTGGGATCAGCACCAATCCCTTTCCCTGACCGAAAACAGCCCCCACCCAAATGCCAATTCGAATAAACTTGGGGTTCTATAGGACCTGTTCAAGGCGGGAGGTGATGAATACTTTGGGAAGACTTGCTTGTAGAGGGCCTGTCGGCCTACCTGTTGTAATCCCGCCTAGCTGGCCGAATACATTTACCTCAGTTAAACGTACTGGAAGGCCCTTGGCATAAGGCTTCCGAAGCTTCTTGGCTTTCTGTGTCGACTGATAAGAAAAGCTTGCTGCAGTAACCCAATTGTCGTATGCCAGCCAAAGTAACCTGGAAACCCCCAGAAGGACCTCGCAAAGATCACGGTTCTTTTGGATGACGATGACTATGAAGGATGCCACATTAGTCTGAGAAGGTGGCAGTCAAGTAGAGCTTGTCTACTTCGTGGCTGCATCCACACATGCCACGAAGGCTACGCACCGAAACTCAGGCAGTGTGTATTTCATGAAAAATGAGGCTGAGGCTCATCTTGCACAACTCCAACCCCAAAACAGACGAGACTCGTATGCTTCCTCCGCATACTTGACGTCTTCATTGCTTAGATCCTCAGCCAAACGTTGCAAGCTCAACCTCAGAAAGGGTCTCCTGATCATCCTTCGATGAGAGATCGCTAGGCTGCCGTATAAACAGGTTTCATTATGCCATAGAACCTGCGAATACTTGCGCAGGTACCCAGCGTCATGACGAAAAAGCTTCCCAAGCAAAATGCGCAATCCACACACCAAAACCTGAAACCATGTTTTTTTCCTCTATCACATCTGCAAAATTAATCGCCTAATAGCCGTTCAACAATAAGGGAGTGGTATAGTGGTGTTCTGCAAACAGGGTCAGGCCTGAGGTAGCCTTTGAATTCGTGGGTGTTGTTGGGGCTGAGGTCTTCGACCTCAAGTACAAACCTGAGAAATTCCTGTGCAACCTCGCAACAACAAACAGGCCAACAAAGCCTGTTCTCCAAGGCACTACCTTCGGCTCTGCCGTAGTTGTTGCGCTGCGCCGGCGAACGGACGGTTCAAGCGGGCGCGGTGCTGCCTAGGCTTGGAGCTTCAGGAAAGGAGTTTAGGAATGTAAAAGTAGTTGGGCCTTTGTGACATGTTTAGGCTTCCAGGATAAAACTTGAGCGTTTGGAGAAGATTAGAGGATTCCAGACGGTGGCGTTGGCGGGGTGGCTGCCGTGGTTCTGGAAGAGGTGCCAGGTGGACGGATGGTGGGTCGGCCGTTGAGAAGGCTGTGGTATATGACTCTATATATACAAACAAAGCCTGGTGTAGCGCACTTTCCTATGCCTTGAACACTTTACGGAAGCCCTTGCAAGCAAACGGCCACAAACACCTACAAATTTGTACGAACCCAAACGCACTGCAGCATACCCGGAAACTACAAACCCCACACCGACGACTGCAGTGTCCCGAAGCTGAAGACAAAGACGTCTTTTATCTGTCTGACAGTCACGCAGGTGCATGGCCAGCGTAACCTTGCTACGATGGGGGAATCCTCCTAAACTGGTCCTCAACCAACTATGTAGCGCCTCCAGAACAGGCCAGGCATGAAAATTGTCACCGAGCTTCAAAGCAGCATGAAGCCGCAACATGAACGGCACCTAACAACCTTGCACTTCAGGATAAAGCGCTTTAAGGCGTGGGGGCTTTGGGAGCATGAGACGCCTCGGTCAATGTTTGTGGGTTTAGGCCTAGGAAGGTACGATGTTTCCATCGCCAGTTGGGGCCGGAAACGTTGCAGTTGCTGGGGCTGCCTGAAACTTTCAGATTTCAGCAGGCTCCTCTAGAAGCACAACCTCTGTAAGCCCATGAGCATTTGGGGTCTTTGATGCGCGTAGCATGAACTGTTTGGCTGTTTGGACTGTCGGAGCTGAGAGTCTCCAAGTGCATTACATCAGCAAATGTCCCATGCGACATCTCAGGAGCCCCTATGGAGATTTAAAGTTGCAAGTCTATACCTACACCTAACATGCTTCTCTTCAGCTCTTGGACCGCCTTCATGAGCTACAAACTGGCTTTCTTCTACCTGTAGGTTTATTTAAGTCTCTCCCTCTCTTTTCCAAGAAATCCCTAGGGTCCTGCCCGTGCAAATCCCTCTGGTTCGGGCGTGGTCATGCGGAAAGGATAATCAAAAGTCCTCGGAATGAAAACTCTCAAATTCTTTTGTTCAACCTTGCCTTTCAAAGCTGTGAAGGCTCTCTTATAAGAATATAGGACAAAGCTGTCGTAGATTTCCAAAAACAACTGCTACCTGTTGATAGCTGCGCATCTCGAGAAAATCCCGGGGAATTATTGCAAATCCAAGTTGCGTGACTGCTGCACCTGCATCATTGCCAAAAAATTAGGAGGGCCGTAAAAGGTTTTCAGAGCTGGAAGGCGCCACAGCACAAGGTGTACAACCTATGTGCAGATTCTCAGAGACAAGTCTACCACAAGAAGACCCCTTTGAAGGAACTGGGCGGGGACACCTACGCGTCCAAGCCGATTCTAAACGTGAATCGTAAGCCACTGCTACTCCAACGTCTCAGCCCGCGGCCGATCTTCAACACAGGCGCAGTCCTGTGCAGGGAGGTCCAAAATTGCGAGTACTCGGACTTGTACGTTTTTTTAAACTTGTTCTAGTCCATATAGGATCCGACTTGGAGCCCTAGAAGGGTTCAAGATCCTGACCCACTACACCCCCTACCTGATGAATGTCGGGAGGCAACAATAACAAGGCCACCCTGACCATGACCACGGCCTTTTCTGCTAGCTTTTGGTTCAGGTTTTGGGATTTGGAATGCGGGGTGCTTCTTTGAATGTCTTTTTCGAAGCACGACACTTTTCCTAGAGCTAAACTTAAGAGGCTTCTCGGTTTTGACGATTGCTTGTCGGGTTGTGACTTTTTCAATGCTGCTCAAACATGTGGCAACAAGACTTGGGACGGATGCATGATGCAAAACAACACCATGACAATAATTGCTTTTCGAAAAATGTGCCGCAGGCAGTATATCTTAACTGTAAGGACTCCCTTCGATTTGAATGGCCGTTTCCTCCCACCGAGCAGATTCAGAGATGCAGGGTACGAACCTGAATCATTTGAGAGCCGAAGTTATGGAATTGGACACTGAAATTGCCTTAACTAGTTGCCCACGTCGTCAAATACACCCCTTGTCCCTTCATTTTGACAACGTCTCCCATCATTTGTGCTACTACATGAAATATCTGCTTTTTGGTAGGTGTCCACTATAATGAGTAAGGGACGTGAATCGTTCATAACATGTGTGCGTATTCAGGTTCCTACACGAAAGCAAAGCGCCAGTGGCCTCGTTGCTGTACAGAGGCTGTGGCTTCACAGATCTGCCTCCCTACCTCTGAACCATTTCAAGTCCATGCAGTGTCAGGAGCTGATTCAAGCATCGAAACCGGAAACTGTGCCGGAGAATGATTTAGCAATGTCACAAAAGCGGGGCCTCTTTTTGTTGAAGGGTTGATGTTGGCATTCTACCCGTCCAGGGTAGATGAAGGGACCCCCCTTTTGAGACAAAAGTCGTGTCGCCAAGCTTATCCAGACTGCTCAGTTCACGTACGGTCTGCGCCCAGCATCTCAGGGTCAGGAAGCTGATTTTGCGTGCCTCGACCTGCCTTTGGCAGGCTCATGCGCCCACAGGCAAAGACCAGGATTCCAAAGAGAGATGAAAAGAGCAGTATCGTTCCTGGCAGTAGCCAGAGGATCCCCAGACTGAAGCTGATGTAGTCCTCAGTTCCTTGACCCTAGACCCAAAAACGGTGCTAGATAAGCATATAAAGAATCCCAAAACCCCGAAGGAAATCAGGGCATCCCAGCAATGCCCCAAGTCTTCCACACATAATCCCGCGTTGGGAAGTTGCTCTGCCTACTCTTCTCAAACTGGGGGAGTCTTCGCAGATGACTCCCATGTAGTGCTTGAATAAAGTGCATGGCCAGTATTGTTCACTAGTCTAGACATACGAATATATGGTTACAGAAGGATTCGAATTATTTACTGTCTTGAGAAAGAACCAAGCTTGTTTCATCATGCACGCTAGCCAGAAGTACTGTTTTTGTTCAATCACCCCTAGGGTACTAGGGATCTTCACTGGGTTCTTGTCAAACGTTCTCCTGGCAGATCCTCTTTGGGAATTGGTATTGCGGATCCTTCAAGGGTAAGATAAGGCCTGTGTGATTCTACCCAACCCCTTAGCAGGGGTTGTTTGTGGTAGTTTCCTTCTTGCATTGAAACAAGATCCTTTCAGGATTGGTATACGAATCGTGACTGGTTTGTGAGACAAGCTTATGCAGATCCGGCATAGCGTTCACAAGGAGTACGTAAAATGATGCGGGGTATTATATGCATTCGATGGGTTCTATTCGGGTTCTATAGAACCCAGGAAACCCAGACACAACATGAATGCCCAGACACAATCCCCATGACGCCAAGATTCTAAAGCTGCTGGTGTGATTTCGGACCTGGTGCTTGCAATGACGAAGGACGCCACCAGCAGCGCGCCGGTGAGGACGTGAAACGGAATGCAAACGAAAAGCGTACCTAAGAGGCAGGAGGTTCGGGGCTCAGAGATTTTGTAAGTTCCAATTTGTATTTCAGTCTGGGGCTTAACTCGAGATGCAAACTTTTTTCACGACCGTCCACGAGCGCCTCACCCGTCCAAACTAAAGCTCAGGTTGCACACACACACATACCCCCCTTCCATGCCGAGCATGGACCCTTTTCTGTTTCAGTACAGCAGACTGAATCCTTCATGGTCTGAACAGACAAGTTCTTAACAGCTAGGATGCAGACAGATCCGCTGATCCGGTCGTCGTCATCATCCTCATTCGTGTTGTTGGCTATGTAAGCGTAGGACATGTACAGCTCGAGCGGGAAGTATCCAATGCTTAGGCACATACCGATCAGCTGCAGAATGACAGGTGGATCAGCAAGATCCTGGTAGCCCACGGGAAAACAAAGAGATTACGGGAGGGTCGGTTAGCAGTTGTCAATTCACAGGCAATTCAGGGGCCACTTTTGCAATACTTCCTGTTGTACGAACCCATCGTCTGACAACTAGTCCTGCGCCATTCCAGAACAAAATCTACTTCCGTGCCTCATGCCTGATTCTACTGAGAGTCTTGTTGTTGCAGGGAGGGGATGGGATACTGTCTGTATGAGAAGCTGACAACTGTGGTGCTGGGAGTCCTGTGTGTTGTGGTTGAGAGTTTAGGGAGGGTGAAACTGGCACTTCGCAGATTGCAAGGGTCCGACTTCTCTCCGTCTCCACATCACCCCTACGGGCATCCCCGAAATTTGGGATCTGTTCATGCCCTCCAAGATGGGACATTCCAATTCCCAGAAAAGGCAAAAGCAATCTTGCTTTTGAAAGCCTCACCTTAGAGCATGCGTCCGGTTTGAAGCCGTAAGATTCCATCAGTGACTTCGGGCACAGGCACACAACTTTCAAACGCACGCACGCACGCACACAAGGATTCAAAGCTGGAAGGAAAAACTAAGGCACCCCAAGCCCTAAGGAGAAAGACTTCCAACAAACTCAATGAGGTTCCTCTTGAACTGTCAGGATGGCAATGATGAGGCCAATTTGCAAAACCGCTCGAAGGCCAACAAGAGGCAAGCACTGCCTGGCACCTGTTTTGGGGAGTCTTCTTGGCGGGATTAGGAGAGTCAGAAGGCTTAGGTGGTTTACCTTGGGTTTGGGAGCTAAGGGGGCAAGGGCTTTGGAGAGGATCACGGCCATGTGTGATCACGCCTGTACACGTCAAGGTCCCTTACATGTCCTCCTTTTGTGTGGGTTCCGTGGACAGGTGGCACAAGGTATCCTGGGGGATAATCATTCGTCCGGGCTCGTCAGGTCATGGATTATCAGATCTGCATGGCCCTCGCCATAAGTCAAGCAATCTGAGGCATCTGCCGTATATGCGACACAGCTAAGCCCAAACAAGGAATTCTTGGACCCGTTTGCTTTGCGAATGCTCAGGCCATGACAACAACTCTTCGCTTTCAGTATAGACCCACATGCAACCGTTTTATTCCCACAACTGTGCCAATGTCATCGTTTTGCCCTCCTGACCTGTAGCTGTGGGCAGGCCTGTGCCAGGATGTAGCATGAAAAGCGGCATTCTGTCACCGCAGCAGAGGCTGATGAGTTGAGTTGAATCAGCTGAGTCGAGTTCAGTTGTGGATTCGGATTTTGGTGCTAGGCCCTAGGCTTCTCAGTCTTCGCGTTGCAATTCTATACAAGCCAGCAAAGATCGTGTCAAATCATGTCATCAGGGTACCTGTACTTCTGTTGGGACCTAACTGACAGCTTCCCGTCGCCTTCAAGCACATAGACCCGACACCTTGATAAGCTGGCAAACTGGAACCTCAGTTTTAGAAACATTTTACTTCACCCAGAAGGGTTCAGCATGTGCTATCCACAGTACCCAAGGGATCGTTGGCTACCCCTGGTGAGCCAATACAGCGACAACAAGCACCAAAGACATGTCGGCCAGCCTCAAGCACTCAAGGGCTTAGCGTGAGGCTTACTTGAAGGACCCTGACCTTGGAGTCAGGCAACATACTATATCTCCATGCGTCATGATTAGCAACCCTATACTTGCATGTCATAAGTAGCTCTGTAAACCAACTTAGCAGCCACATAGCTGAGCTTCCGGGCAAAATCTGAAAAACACCGGAAACGCTGATTGCCACAACCCCCCATGGGCCTGGGTGGAGCTTATACGTGCAGCCCTAAAACTCAAAGCCCAAATTTTCCCAACGGAAGCATCCTCCCAAGGTAGTCCCTGCAAAACTCTGCATAATCCCTTCTCCTTCTGCCCCTGGCAGATGACTTGCCCATGCCCAGAGCCATGGCACTGGACTCTGAAAAGCGGACAGTAAGGTAGAAGCTAGGAAACATGAATGATAATCAAAGTTGGGGTCCCATGGCGGTATCAAAAGTGACGTCCCCCTCATAACGGTCAAAACGCGGACAAGTTGAAATGCAATTGTTCTCATCGCAATGCAGGAATTTGAAACTGTTTCAGATGCTTCTTTCTCGTAGTGTCAGTCCTTAAACTTGTCTAAGCCCTGAACTAATCAGCCCTTCTAGGTTGTAAGCTGGCTCGGGGGCGCCCACACATGAGTGCTTTGAGCAAGCATCGAAGTCACATGCACATGCATGAAGCATGCACCAAGCTGGGGCAGCTTCAGCATGAATGCAATTGATTTCGACCCCTCTGATATGATAGCCTTTGTTGCTTCAACCCTACACTCAGGATTTCATTGCTCCCGAACGACTGGAAGGGACCTTTGGGAATTCATGTCCTGGCTACGGGTCCCAAATCAGTTTTGCAGGTTCCAAGTGCTGATCACCTTTTGGATTCTTTACATGCTGAGGTGAGGCATGAAACCCCAGGCAGGCCTCACACCTGCAATCGAGATCTCGTACCGGTTCTGAGTTGATGTGCCAAGAACAAACAAGATCCCGACACGTTGGCTTGAGATTTCCACAGCCTTCAAGCACCTAAGCACTCTGTAGGGTTGAAGGCTCCTTGCTTGCCAACAGCTTGGTGCCTGCAAGTTTCGTTGATAATATAGGTCCTGCCGGACATCGGTGTTACGAGCTGTCGATCAACCTTCTGAGACTTGCAAGGGTCCTGAGCTTCAATCGTCCCCCTGAAGTCTGAAACATGCTCATACCTGATTCTCACACCCGAATTCTACATTTGACGGATGCAATCCTGCACCCAACCAGGCTGCCAAATCTTGGGAACAACAATCTCTCAGAAATTTCAGGGTTGAAGGTCTAAGTGCAAGTCTTATTCCATGAACGGCATTTTTGTTCCAAAGCCTTGCTCGCCAACTCCAACTCACAAATGGGTATATAGCCTTAAACCTGTAATCCTGCAAAAGCACCTATGCCTGTAGCCCTGACATTTTGAGATCTTGTCGAACTCTCGTGTGCAATCTGTGAATCTGTATAATCGATTCTGGCCCCCAGGTTTTACGCAAGACAAATGTGCAGGCCCACTACGCGGACAATCATTCTGTAGTCTGTTTTCTTTAACGAACTCCCAGAGAAAGGAAATCCCAATTTGCGCAAACTCTGAAGCCCTGCTTTGACTTTTGGGATTAGGGCAGTCTTGAACGTAGAGGCAGTTTAGGGTATACGGTTTAGGATGTATACGGGTCCACAAAGAAGTAGGTCCAACGACGGGACCTCAAGGGCAAAGGCCCACATCAAAAGGTTCGTCCTTGCGCGGTCGAAGGTGGCTGCCTCCGGCTCTCGGAGTATGCCTGCAAGTCGCATCATCAGTACCTGCATCAGAGCTTACAGAGGTTAAGGGTTGAGGGCTTGTAGGGTTTGAGGTTAAAGTGCTTGGCCCAGGGCCTGGAATGTGGGAGCATGGCAGCCGCAGAGGTCTGCAGCTTCCACACTGCCTAGAAGTCATAACAGAGCGATACTTTGTTAACCATACCGCCATAGGACCACTACAAATCTGCACTCGTTTCGTATCCCTCAAGCTCAGAAGGAGTACTGCATTGGGCAGACAACAAATCACAAAGACTCGAGAGCATGGCCCTAACAAAAAACCCTAAACCTTTGAGGCTCAGAAACGTGCACCCTGAACCCCAAAACCTGACTCTGAAACTCCATGGTCTGATCGCACAGTTTGTGCATGGCTGGAGGGGAGCAGCTCGTAGCTCTGGGCCTCCGGTGCAGGGTGGAAGGTTCAGGAGTTTTGTTTTAGAAGAGCTTAGAAGGTTTGGAGGTTTAGGGTTTCTTGGTTTAGGGTTTTGGCGCTAGCATTCGAGAGTTTAGAATGTGGGATGTGCTTTCTTTTTGGGTTGAAGGTTCAGAGGTGCAGACTTTGTGGTTCCAGCGTTAGGGCTTTGAGGGTATGGAGGTCAGGGACTCTACGCTTTGGGATTTGGGACTCATGCTGTAGGGTTGCAGGATTTACTGTACTGCTCCACTGCTTCGTTTCCGAGGGCTGCTGACCGATGGAGTACTCATAGCAATATCGACTCGATTGCTGCTGCTACAGCCGCCACTGCAGCTGCTGGTACTACAGCGTAATTCTTATTCTACTCAGGGCTGTATCTTCAGATGGTCGGACCCTCTGTACTGCCAATTGCAGGTTCTGGTACAATTGCGTCAACTTTATCAGAATTTGGTCGTGTACATGAAATACTACCATGTGTGACCAATCTCACTTCAGCCCGATCCCTCTTGTGTCTCATGGACTGCATATCTTCGGTAAGCTATCAAGCTAGTGATATTCATGTCTGACATGAGCCAGAAAATTTCTGAGCTTTTGGGGTGTTGGGTTTGTAAACATGTTGCCCACACGTTTTGCTTCACAGGGTAGGTGCTGCGACGAAGGGTCCCTTTTCAGGCATCATGTTGATGCGGAGGGTTGGTCATGTACTTCGTCTAGCCCCAGGATCTAACAGTGTGCCTCCACTGCAAAGCAAGCCTTGACAAGGGCCTACAACTGGTTCATGAACTTGATATGGTGTTCTGTAATGTTCAAACCGCTTCTTCAACATTAGCCAACAGACCTTCTTCAACCATCTGCACATTTCATTGAAAAGCTACCGCCGGGTTACCTCTCCTGGCATGGCGTCCAAATTCAAATTCCAACCCAAAAACCGTAAGACCTCAAACACTCAACCCTGAAAACACCAAATCCTCAACACTGCAACCCTTAAACCCTTGAAAGTCCAGAACCCCTACTGCCGGCCTCGGAGAGCAAAACTAGCCGCCCTCCATCTCCCCACACGTCCCGCGTTACAGAGTCAAGGCGACACCTAGGATTGTTGTTCAGGGTGCGAGTCATCTTTAGGAGTTGGAAGGGGTTGGTGAGGGTTCTCTGGGGGAGTGTTGTGGGTAAAAGGATGATGGATCGCAAGCAATGAACGTCTCTTGTGGCCCACACCTGTTGGATGTAGAAGCCCAGAGCCCTAAACCTGATTTTGCAAAGGCAGTTTTTAGTGCTGTCATCCATTGTGCCACCCGCAGTTAGGGCTCATATTTAACACTGGTTCCAACTTCGGGAGCACTCAAATTCCTTCCACTTCTGAAAGCTAATTGGCTGTCTTGGGGAGTCATAGAGGATTTTCTTGGTGATAGGGGGTTCCAGAGATTGTTGGATAAACCACCACCTTGCGATCCACTGTCCAACACGCCTGTAAATATCAATGATGACACCCTTCGTCACCAGGCGCGGTTGCAGAGTCCCACTTTTTTGGCATGCATCAGATTGAGCACATGGGCTTTGGTCAGGTAATTTGGATGGATGTGCCACACGGGGATATTCCCGCATACGTAGGACAAGTCATGGTTACAACCAAAGAAACGAATTTCTGTTTTGGAGCTCCGGCCAGGATTTCTGATGTCGGAGAGACGGGTGAACCTGACGGACGGCTTGACTGAAGAAAGAAATCCCGGACCCTGACGGTGGCGAAACCCTACTATGCGCATCGACCCGCAGGGCGAAACCCGTATGGCCTACACCCTGTAGGGCAAAATTGTAACAATCGCCTCCAACCACCAAGAGGAAACCCGACGAATCGCCTCGACCCAACCCTTCTGAGGAGAGGGGTTATTTGAAGGGCAGAGAGAATACTTGTGCCACTAG